CAGACATAGAACAAACACTTCAAAAATTTATATGGAACCATAAATGACCCCGAATAGAAGCTACAATTTTGAGAAAGTAGAACACAGTCGGAGGGATCACAATACCCGATACCAAACTATATTACAAGGCCACTATAATCAAAACAGTCTGGTACTGGCATAAAAACAGGCACATAGACCAATGGAACAGAACAGAGAGCCCAGAAATCAACCCAAGTCTCTATTGGCAACTAATATTCAACAAAGGGGGCAGTGACATAAAATGGAGTAAAAATAGCCTCTTCAAGAAATGGTGTTGGGCTCTGGCTGATGTATCTCAGTGGATTGAGCACGGGCCTGTGAACCAAAGGATTGCTGTTTGATTCCCAGTCAGGGCACACGCCTGGGTTGCAGGCCAGTTCCCATCAGGGGATGCATGAGAGGCAATCATACGTTGATATTTATCTCCCTGTCTCCTTCCCTTCCCCTCTAAGGATAAATAAATATAATCTTTAAAAAAATGGTGTTGGGAGAAATGGACAGCTACATGCAAATAAATGAAACTTGAGCACCAACTTACACCATACACAAATATAAATTCAAGGTGGATAAAAGATTTAAATATAAGCTGTGACACCATTAAAGTCCTAGAGGAGAACACTGGCTAGAAAATCTCAGATATTTCATGCAGCAACATTTTTACTGATATGTCCCCTAGAGCAAGGAACATAAAGGAAAGAATAAACAAATGGGGTCTCATCAAAATTAAAAGCTTCTGCATGGCTAAAGAAAACAGTATTAAAATAAAAAGAAGGGGACTTCCGCCAAGATGGAGGCATAGGTGGATGTGCCGTGCCTTCTCACACAACCAAATTTAGAGAAAACTAAATATTAGCAACAGAAAACACAGCCAGAACACGGAAAATTGAACTTTTCGGAAGTCCGTTAACAACAAATTCTTCAGCCTGACCGGTAAGGGGTGAAACCAGCAGCTGGTGAGGGGTTGCACAGGAGGACTTGGTCAGAGGGACTCAGGCGTGGAATCCAGACGCGCAGAATCCAGGCGCAGGGTTGGACCTAGTGAGCCACTAGGCGAGCCACCAGGCAAGCGACCGCGGAGGAGACAGCGGGGAAGCGGTGCTGCGTGTTGACTGTGGTCGCCCATTTTTGCGTGAGCGGACAGGCGAGGGAGTGGGTGGTTGGACCGGGGCCTGGCGGGTCCCCGCGGCAAGCAGCAGTGGAGGGCGCCGCCATTTCCCTGCTCTGACCACGCCCCCACATACAGCATCACAACCCAGCGACCTGGGAGTCCAGGGCTCCTCTCCGCACACTTAAAGGGCGGGAACAGACCAACAATGGCTCAAGAAGATCTCAAAGCCCCAGAGCCTATAAATCTAAGCGATGAAGAAATAGCAAAACTCTCAGACGCACAGTTTAAAACACTGGTCATCAGGATCCTCATAGAACTGGTTGATTATACCGACAAATTAGACAAATATATGAAGGCGAAACTAATTGAAATGAATGGAATTGCACAGGACACCAATAGCAATGAAAAGGAAACTGGGACTCAAATCAATGGATTGGACCAGAAGAAAGCAAATAATGGCCAAACAGAAAAGAGTCCAGAAGCAAGAATTCAAAGAAATGAGGAGAGTCTCAGGAACCTCAAGGACATCTTTAAACGCTCCAACATCCGAATTATAAGGGTACCAGAAGGGGAAAAGGCACAGCCACCAGTGGAAAACTTATTTGAACAAATAATAAAGGAGAATTTTCCCAATCTGGCAAAGGAAATAGACTTCCAGGAAATCTAGGAAGCTCAGAGAGTACCAAAGAAGTTGGACCCAAGAAGGAACACACCAAGGCACATCATAATTACATTAGCCAAAATTAAAATGAAGGAGAGAATCCTAGAAGCAGCAAGAGCTAAGGGGACAGTCACCTACAAAGGAGTCCCCATCAGACTGTCAGCAGATTTCTCAAAAGAGACCTTACAGGCAAGAAGGGGCTGGAAAGAGGTATTCCAAGTCATGAAATCCAGAGACCTACAACCAAGATTGCTCTATCCAGCAAAACTTTCATTTAGAATGGAAGGACAGATAAAGTGCTTCTCAGATAAGATCAAATTCAAGGAGTTCATCATCACCAAACCCTTATTATAGGAAATGTTAAAGGGACTTATCTAAGAAAAAGAAGTTAAAGAAACATGAACAGTGAAAGGACAACAAACTCACAGTTATTAACGACCACACCTAAAACGAAAGCAAACTAAAAGGACAGCTAGATCATGAGTGGAAACATAGAAATGAAGATCTCAAGGAGGGTTAGCAACAGGGGAGTGGGAGGAGGAGATGGGGGGAGAAGGTACAGAAAATAAGTAGCATAGACAGTAGATAGAAAATAGATGGGGGGGCAAGAATAGCATGGGAAATATAGAATCTAAAGGACTTGAGACACATGGTCATAAACTAAAGGGGGGTAATGGGGGATGGGGGGTAGGGTGGAGGGGAATGAAGGGGGGAATAGAACAACTGTAACAGCATAATCAATAAAAAAATTTAAAAAAATAAAAATATAAAGAGAACCAACTCTGTGGGAAAATATATTTGCCAATGATACCTCAGACAACAATTTAATCTCCAAAATATACAAAGAACTTACACAATTCCACTCTAAGAAGATAAGCAACCCAATTAAAAAATGCACAAAGGACTTGAACAAACACTTTTCCAAGGAGAACATACACAGGATCCAGAGACACATGAAAAGATGCTCAGTATGGCTAGCTATCAGAGAGATGAAGATTAAAACCACAATGAAATAGCACTTTACACTGGTCAGAATGGTCACCATAAACAAATCAACAAACAAATCTTGGAGAGGTTGTGGAGAAAAGGGGACCCTAGTTCACTGTTGGTGGGATTGCAGACTGGTACAACCACTATGGAAAACAGTATGGAATTTTCTCAGAAAACTAGAAATGGATCTGCCTTTTGACCCAGCAATTCCACTGATAGGATTGTATCCTACAAACCCTGAAAACAACAATCCAAAAGATCCTATGCACCCCAATGTTCATATCAGCATGATTTACAGTAGCCAACTGCTGGTAGAAACCTAGGTGCCTGTCAGTAAATGAATGGATCCAAAAACTATGGTACATTTACAGAGTGGAATTCTATGCAGCAGAAAGAAAGAAGGAGCTTCTACCCTTTGCAACAGCATGGATGGAAGTGGAAAGCATTATGCTAAGTGAAATAAGCCAAGTGGAAAAGACAAATAGCATATGATCTCACCTTTAACAGGAACCTAAACAACAAAACAAGCAAGCAACCAAAATATAACCAAAGACACTGAAATAGAGAACAGGCTGACAATGGCCAGAGGGGAGAGGAGAGGGAATTTCAGGGGAACAGGGAAAGAATTTACAGGGACAAGTATAAATGGAAACATGGACAAAAACTAGGGGGGTTTGGAAATGTAAGGGAGGTGGGGAGGTCTGGGACTTGGCCTGGGATGGGAGTAAAAGACAGAAAATTGTACATCAACAACATTTTTTAAAAAAGCATTTACATAAAAAAACGGGGGAAAATAACTGAATAGACCCTCGTCTAAGGAATACATACAGAGGGCCCAGAGACATATGAAAAGATGCTCAGCATCACTAGCTATCAGAGAGATGAAAATTAGAACCACACTGAGATACCAGTTCACATTGGTCAAAATGGCCATCATAACCAAATCAATAAACAACAACTTCTAATGAGGTTGTGCAGAAAATGGAACCCTAGTGCACTGTTGGTGGGCATGTAGACTGGTGCAGCCACTCTGGAAGACAGTATGGAATTTCCTCAGAAAACTAAAACTGGAATTGCCTTTTGGCCTGTAAGTTCTCTTGCTGGGAGTATACCCTAAGAATTCTGAAATACCAATCCAAAAGAACCTGTGCACCCCAATATGCATAGCAGTACAATTTATAATAGCTGGGTGCTGGAAGCAACCCAAATGCCCATCAGTAAATGAGTGGATAAAAAAAAACTGTCATACATTTACATGATGAAATACTATGCAGCAGTAAGAAAGAAGTACCTCCCATCCTTTGCAATAACTTGGATGGATCTGGAGAGCATTTTTCTAAGTGAAATAAGCCAGGCAGTGAAAAACATATACCATATAATCTCAACTATGAGTGCAACCTGATCAATGAAACAAACAAAGAAGCAAAATAACAACCAGAGACATTGAAATAAAGAACAAACTGACAGAAACCACAGGTGAGGTGGGAGGGGATAATGGGAGGAAAAGGGGGAAGGGCTGTCAAGGAACATGTTATAAAGGACACACAGACAAAGCCAAAGGCAGAGCATGGATCGCATGAAAGGTGAGAGGTGGGGATGGCTGTGTTGGGGCAATGGTAGGAGGAAAATAGAGACAACTCATTGCACTTGAACAACAATAAATAAAAAGATTCACTTTAGAAGGAAGTCAACACAGAAAATTCATACTGAATGATCCCACTGATATGAAGATAAGGCAAAGCTCTTGATAGAAAACAAACTGGTGTTTAAATCTAGGGCCAGGGTGTTGGTAGGATTGCACAAAGGGGCATAGGAAATGTTTTGGGATGATGGAAATGCTGTATAAGGAGTGTCCAACCTTTTGGTGTTTCTGAGACACACTGGAAGAAGAAGAGTTGTTTTTGGTACAACATTAAATGCATCGTGATACATAATGACAAAAAAATCTCACAATGTTTTAAGGAAATGTATGATTTTGTGTTGGGTCATATCTGTAGCCATCCTATGACACATGTGACCTGCAGGCCACAGAATGGACACCCCTGCTTGTGGGGGTTTTATGGGTATATACCATGGCAAAACTCATCAACCTGTACAGTTGAAATAGGTGCAGTTTATTGTATATAAAGTAAATGTCAATAATATTGCTTATAGGAAATTTACTGCAGGATCATTAAAGAAAGATTTTATTGAATATTGTTTATTGAACATTACGATAAGATTTAAAATCTGATTGATTACACAAATGAAAACATCTGCCTGTACATTTCTGCAAGGTGAGATGTGGATGAAATATGATCAATGGAGAAGCTTTTTAACAGGTAAAGAAGAGGTGATATCAATGCATTTTAGTTAATGTTTAACTTATAGGAATGATATCTCTTTATTAATGTGGAATTACCCCAACCGTAAAACAAGTTCAGATTATCTAAAGTTGATCTTAAGTGTTCATTTAGAACAGTTTTCTAATCTGACCCTTCCAAAATAGATAGCATGAGACCCAGTGATAACACAATAGCTCATTCAAAGCTAAATTGTACATCACCTATGATATTAACATTTTGTATTCACTAAATAAAAATTGTATTTGGAATTGTTTGTGTATTACTTTGAATTTAAAAATTGGGTTATTTAAAAAATTGCTATGCTCAGATATTGAATAGCAGGGTGGTTCCTTGGGAAATCTAATATGATAAATGAAGCACTAATTTTAAGACCTAGGTTTAAATGTTATGTATCAATCAATATGTACCCTTTACATAATCTCCTCTAGAATTTTTAATGAACTATAGAAATAATCCCTGAAAGTATAGTCTTTCCTCTGGAATTTTTAAAGATTTTTTCTAATCTGTGAGGTGGTGATGGTGAATTCTTTTCTTTGTAGTCAATGTGGAAATGAGAAGCCCTGAACTAATCCTGGAAATAATACTGAATCCAATTAAAGCCACCTTATCATGTGTGCATGTGGACTGTAATAGAGAGTAGATAAAATACAGAAATAAGGTTTTATAAAATACTACACAGATGTTGCAAAAACACTTTCAAATAAATCAGAAATCAATTGTCATTAGTTATGCTTATGTGTTAGTGAAAGTGTTAGTACTCTTCACTAGCAATGGAGGAATCCTTGCATTTATTTAGTGGTTATCTTGAACCTGTTTATTTTGGCTTGATGGTAGAAGCACCTTGTTGGAAGAGGGTTGGTCAAATGCAGGGAGGGAGGTTAGTGGGCAATTGGTTAGGTCAACTAAATTCTAAATGCCAGTAATGGGTTCCTTAACCTAACAACACTGTACTTAGGCTACCAGCCTATGTCTTATTCACTTGCTTTTCCTCATCACCCACAATCTCAAGCTCGGACTCCAGCTTGGGCTCAGCCTCTGGCTCCAACATGATTTCAACTTCAAGCACCTGGGCAGGCTCAGGTCCTGGGGCAGGCTCCTGGGCAGGATCCACGGAAGGCTCAGGCTTGGGGATAGACCCTGGATCTGGCCCCAGAATGGTGCTGAAGTCAGTCTCATAGAAGGAAGGATGCAGCGTTGCTTTTACTTGGATAACATCTTCAGATGGTGTTGTCTCGAACTCTGTGCCTGTGTTTATCTTTGCCATTGGTCTGCAGGAAGAAGGCCCAAGAAAGACCAAGTTAGGGTTTGACATTTCATATGGGGCCACAGGCTCTGTAGATTTAGCAACCACAGATCCATCCCCATCTGTTCAGGAACTCTGTGATTTCTGATATTCTTACCTACTGTTAGACCACTCCATTTTGGGTGCAGAAAGGTTATGTCTCAACAACATCATGAGAGTTCAAGAGAGAAAAAACTATTGTTTAAAATGTAGGGAAAATATAAAGATGAAAAGATTTAAATATCTAGTAAGGTCTTTGAGGGCCAAATCCACAGCTCGGGTGCATCTCCCACTTCATCTAGCACAACTCTTGCATCTGTTTGTTGTCTAAAACATAACTGTGGAAGCATAGAAATGGAGGGATGAACACATGAATGAGTGTGAGGTACATTCAAAAAGAAATAGCAGAGTGGTCAAGAGCATGAGCTCTGGGCATGGTCGTGTGACATAGGCACTTCTTCCTTCATGTACCCCTTGTTCCAAAACATATTAAAAATTATATTTTATGACTGTTGGTAAAAATACAAGCATACTAATATGATACATTAAATAATTTTTCTTAGACCTAAAAGAGTTATTGTGGTAAAAGAAGTTGGTATAAATTGCTTAGAGTAGTTTCGCACATAGTGCTCAGTAAATGGTACCCATCATGACTCTTTTATAAAAGCAGTGAGAATAAGCAGAATGATATCCTTAATATCTTATGCTAAAAGGAATGCTTGGGAAGAGATAACTGATAGACATACCTGAGAAATGTCTATATTCAAGTAAAGTCAACAAAATAAGGTCTTACTCGAGTTCTGTGGTGGTTTTAGAACTTCTCTTCCTTTCCTTCCCCTTTGCCTTTGCCTTGCTCCTTGCAAAACACACCACAGAGGTGATAATGGCAGCACCCACTAGGGAACCCACCAAGGCCCCAACAATGATTCCAACTTCTGGATCTGCAGGATACAAACAGCTGGTTAGTAAGCTGGAACATATTGTCTCTGCCTCAGACATGTGTTTTTGTGACCAGTGGGAAATATTTGGGGCATTCATAGCCTAGGAAAGAGACTTGTATAGGTAGGGAGAATGTAAACCCCTAGAACTCTGCCAGTTGGACTCAAGGGGAAGAAAGATGGCTAGGTCAACTATATAGCTTACCTATTCACATTTCCACACATAAAGAAAAAAAAATATGCCAACTTGGGGGAGGTGGGGTCACTTTCAAAATGAGGTTTGGAGAAGTGAGTTTTCAGTGGTCATTTGCTTAGTCAATGAGAGAGACACCATGCAGCTGCATTCTGGTGACCAGAGAAATGACCTCTGTTACAGGCAGGGGCATTTCGCCAGGTTTTCCCAGATAATAAGTCAAGTAGGTCCCTAAAACATTCTCTCTCACAGATTCTATGCTCACCGTGGAGCCTCATTCATTCTGGCCACTGGAAAGGGATATGCCAATTCCATAAACTGGTTTATTAGATGAGTCGATGGAAAAGCTTAATGAGTGAGATGATTCACATGAGCATCAGATCTTAAAGCACTAAAGTATTTTCCCAAAAAGGCTATGTCTGGGTTCTAGGAGGGCTCATCTCCATCTACCTCTCTTCAAATAAGAACAGACACCTTTTTTTTTAAAAAAAAAAAAAAGAAAATTTCTTTATTTACTTTCAGAAAGGGGAAGGGAGGGAGAAAAAGAGGGAGAGAAACATCAATGTGTGGTTGCCTCTCAAGTGCCCCCTACTGGGGACCTGGCCTGCAACACAGGCATGTGCCCTGATAGGGAATGGAACCAGCGACCCTTTGATTTGTAGGCTGGCACTCAATCCACTAAGCCACACCAGCCAGGGCAAGAATGGACATCATATAGTTTTAGACTAAAGGCTAGTTGAATTGCCTGATAATTCTTTCAACGTTTTATGACTAAAGGAATACATGTGAATAATTTAGAAAGTAAAACAGTTCTATTAGACTTCTAATGGAAACAAAAATAAAAACAAAACAAACAAAAAACACCAGTCCCCCATCTCTGAGTCACATTCACTAAAGAAAACCATTTTTAACTCTTTTTTTTAACCTTCTGAAATTTGCCCGCAAGTTCCTGTTATGCTTGTTCTAATATTCCCAGCCTTTTCCAATTTTGGTAATTTTCTATTGACTTCCTACTTTGGAAGTTGAAGATTTAATCTCTTATACCATTCCTCTTACACTTTGCCACATTCTTCTTATGTAGACAGGTTGTAGTTAAATTCAAGTTTGCAGTATTATGACTATGTGAATATTATCCACAGCTACAGAACACAGTATTACTATGGTCCTCTCTAGTACAACATTTAAAAATATTATTAGATTACTAATTGCTTCATTTGGGATTTTTTAAAATGTGTTATTGCTAGTCCCCAAGACTTCCAGTAAAACTATTGAACTCCTTTCAACAGATTCAAACATGTCAGATAATCTATAAGAATTTAAAAATTTTTTTCTCTCAGGGATATCCTTTATGGAGCCCCCCTGTATTGACTGGTTGCCTTCTTGCTCTACTGTCATTCTTTAATCTTGTTTTACCTTTGTTCCTATTTTACAGTTAAAGAAACAAACTGCAAGTTCCTTCAAGACCCAGCTCAAGAAGTACTTCATTGGTAAAGTTGCCCTGGTTCTATAACCATAATTGTTTCTTCTTTGATGTCCTATAGACACTCTGCAGACCTCTATTATAGCATTTAACACATTTTAGTGTTTGTTCATACCTCTAGCTAAACTATGAGCTCCTTGATTGTAAGGCATATATGTTATTAATCTCTGTATCTCCATCACCTAGGATATTCCCTGGCATATAGTAGATATTCAGTGAATATTTAAGGAAGTCAGGGAGGGAGGGAGGGAACCAAATGACAATACTGGAAAGAGAATTCAAAAGGAAGTGAGGTTCAAGTAGAAATCCTAGGAATTTTCCCATCTGCAGTATGACTGTACCCCTAGAAAGGCAAAACAGGTGAAACAGGACTGAGGAAGATCTAGAAAAAAAAAAAAAACAGCAGAAATGGCTGAAAGGACTGGGGGCAGACTGAGATCACAGAAAGGACAGACCAAAAAGGTAAGGTTTCTTCATTTTGAATAAAAATAGCTGAAAGTGCCTTAGCTGGTTTGGCTCAGTAAATTGAGTGTCAGCCTGGGAACAAAAGGGCCACCAGTTTGATTCCCAGTCAGGGCACATGCCTGGGTCTCAGACCAGGTTCCCAGTAGGGAGTGTGTGACAGGCAACCACACACTGATGTTTCTCTTCATCTCCCTCTCTCTCAAAAATTAAAAAAAAGTAACTGAAAGTGACATAAGAATGCAGGTGTAGTCTGGAGTTGGAAAATGTTTGGTTTAGGACAAAAGGAAGAAAGCTGGGCTTCATAGGAGACTAATGATCTAATGGAACTGGCCACCTGTGTTTTGTATAGATTAAGACCACAGATTCAAAGTAAGTTAGAAAAAATGAATAGATCCTAAGTGTTAAATGATTTTTGAGAGATGTTGCAAGATGTCCCTTATGGGAACTTGCCCTTGATTGGCCCATTTTGACAGTTCCAGGTCCTGGAGTCCATGCTTAATAACTAAGCACCTTTGAACTAGAAAGTCGAGGTTTAAAGACATCCTGGAACTGCCGGTTACTAACTGGATGACCTTGGGCAAATCACTTACCTCCCTGAATTCAGTTTCCTTTCAGTAAAGTGAGGCTAACAATATATTCAGCCTCTTAGACAGGGTAGTTGGAGGATCAAGTGAGGCAATGCTCACAGTACTTGGCTGAGTGGTACATAATTTGTGCTTCACTAACATTGGCTACTATGACTGTAGGTATGTTTTTACTCCCATTATTATTAGAGGCAGATCTTAACAAATTAGTTAAGAACTGGAAAGTTTTTGAGCTCCCTATTTGATGTAGATTGCTACAGTTTCACCTGGGTTTACCAACAGCATAACAGAAAATTTAGCTCGGGACTATCAATGAGGCTGTTTTATTTATTATATAGTAATTCTTACTTTCTAGAGAATTTTGAGGGTTAAACAAACTTATTTTTATAAACACCTTAGGGAAGTGTGTGACACATATTAAGTATAGTGTAAGCATTAGATATAGGGATGGTAATTCATGAAATTAACCTATAAAGCACCAAAATGTCCAGAGAAGCAGGAAGGACAAACTAGGACTATTTAAATTACTTGGTTGGCAGGCCCGCAATATTTGACTTAAAGCTGTATGATCAACTCACGTGAAACAGTTAGATCGATTTCACAGGAGCTATTGCCAAGGATGTTGGTTGCAGTGCACTGGTAATAACCTTGTTCAAAATTGGTCAGATTTCCAAAAACCAAAGTCCCGGTTGCTGGATCTGTCAAGACCAGGAAATAGACTTTTGAAATCTCTTATGTGGGTAGAGATCATGTTAATGTAGCAGATCATTCATTGCCAACCCACTTCCTCACATTGGCCTTCCTTTTTTGATATATCCTTATGACTATTCCAAAGTAGCCCAGCTTGGACCACACCATTCTCTCCATACCCACCACCTCTTAGGCAAAACCAGGCCTGACTTCTAGAAGATGGGGACAAGGCCAGAGTACAATCATCTCGTTAAGAGACAGATATTATTTTTATATCCCCTCCCAGAAAAATAGAAGATTGAGCTCTAGAGATGAACAGCCAGTAACATACATGCTATTAGCCACCACACATACCATATACCTTGCCAAGGGCTGCTGAGAGCTATACTTACCAAAGCTTTCTTTCACTGGAATGATGTCTCTTCCTTCAAGTTTATACCAGTGGTACACAGGAGAAGGTGTTCCGAGCACCGAGAGGCAAGAAAGAGATATAGGTTGGCCAGTTTCTGGTATTCCTTGAATGCTGCAAAAGGGCTTAGAAGGTTTTACTGTAAAACAATGACAAACAGTAAAAATCATGTTAGATGAATGGCAGTCTGTAACCATTGTAGTCACTGACTCCCTCTTGTTTTGAGGAACGTCTGCTTAATTAAAAAACAAAATCTTTAGCACTTGTTTTGACAGTATTCTATTTGTACCACCAGGTGGGAGTAGAGTGCTTCAGATACAAGGACCTTTCAGTCACCAGTTAATGTTCCAATAGCATCTCTTCCATCTACCTCCTTCCTTGATTTATAACCATGAATTTTTATATTGTGTCTTAAAACATGGCTTTAATAAAACAACCAAATATAAGCAAACACTAAACAACTACAAGCATAGTTAATACTCTCGAAGCACAGCTGTAAATGAAAATACTTTGAGATAACCTGTTATTTTTTTCTGTTAAAAATTGTTATATAAATGCCATATTTTTCTTTTTTCTTTTTATATAAGAGTCATTTTGGCATTTGTTCTTCTTGGGTAAACCACATGGTTTGAATTTACCAGTGTCACTCATTGGTAGGGGAAGCCCATTTGTTGAGAGTGGTGCTACAGAGCATTGAAATCTTTATTCATTTTTCACTCTAGGACAAACACATACTTGAGGGCCTTATGTGTGCCTGGCATTGGAATAGGCACTAGGGATTCAAAAGTAATTCTGACACAGTTGTGAAGTGGAGTGGGGAAGTGGTGAAAGAGAAACATGTAGCTTGGAGGGTGTTGTATCTCATGTATTTTATACCGAGAGCAGGAGGACCACAGAAGGAATTTAAGTAGGGAAGAGATGATGGTCGTTTTAACGTTTTACTTGGATCACTCTGACTCTGGAGTTCCTAAACCAAGGGAGAGGAGAAGACATATTTAAGAGGTATTAACAAGTCAACAACACTTGGTGACTAAGTAGATATTGGGCATGAGGAAGAAGGTGGGGTCAGTGGTGATCCCCAACTTTCTGATTTGAACAGATGGTACATGAACTTGGCCTCATCTCCTGAGATAATATAGGAGGAAGAGCAGGTTTTCAGGGAAAGAGAGGAAAAAGGGGTGAAGATGAGTTCAGTTTGGATTTTTAAACCCTCCAAACATGTAGATTTTCTAATTAGACCTTAAATCTCCAGATTTCCCAGCTCTTTGCTCTTAATTGAAAGGTAACAGTTAAAAACACAGCTCTGGATCCACACAAAATCCTGGCTTTGCAACTTTACCATAGATGTGTTTAGGCAAGTAGCCTAAGAGAAAAAACCTCAATTGACTCATCTATAAAATGTGAAGAAGAGATTATCTGTGCTCCAGCTAATGCAAATACATTGTATTTATATAATTAAAATTATGTCTATAGAGCCTTGCACATGGAGTTGCTCTTGGCCATAGGCAGGACTAATTTCTGCTGCCACATTTTAAAGCATGCTACTGAAGTTAATCTTCCAATCTAAGATTCTAGTCCTCTGTACACGTGAGCAAGAATACAGATGGATAGAGCTGTAACTCTCTGAAACACTTCACCATTCCTATTTTTAAACAGTTGTATTTTAATTAAAAGAAATATTTTCCTACTTACCCCTTTATTATTTCTACTGATTTTCTCAGATGGGTATAATGCACTGTATTTGCCCACCCTAATTTAAGCAGAAGTCCATTGTAGATTTAGATACTGCATTTTTTCTTTGTCTTTTTTTTTCATTTTTTAATGTAATTATTGTTCAAGTACAGTTTTCTGTCTTTTACACCCATCCCAGCCTACCCCCCAGTGCTTCCCACCTCCCTCCCATTTCCACCCCCCCCCCCCTTAGTTTTTGTTCGTGTGTCCTTTATACTTGTTCCTGTAAACCCTTCCCCTTTTCCCCTGAAATTTTCTCCCCTCTCCTCTCTGGACACTTTCAGCCTGTTCTCTATTTCAGTGTCTTTGCTTGCATGTTTGTTTTGTTGTGTAGGTCACTAATAAAGGTGAGATCATATGGTATTTGTCTTTCACCGCCTGGCTTATTTCACTCAGCATAATGCTTTCCACTTCCATCCATGCTGTTGCAAATGGTAGGAGCTCTTTCTTTCTTTCTGCTGCATAGAATGCCATTGTGTAAATGTACCATAGTTTTTGAATCCATTCATTTAATGATGGGCACTTAGGTTGCTCCCAACTCTTGGCTATTGTAAATTGTGCTGCTATGAACATTGGTGTGCATAGGTTCTTTTGGATTGGTGTTTCAGGGTTCTTAGGATATAATCCCAGCAGTGGAATTGCTGGGTCAAAAGACATATTCATTTTTAGTTTTTTTAGAAAACTCCATACTGTTTTCCATAGTGGTTATACCAGTCTGTAATCTCACCAACAGTGAACTAGGGAGATACTGCATTTTTTTAACATGGTGATGTTATAGCTTTTACAGCAGAATGGATCAATTTAAACAGAAAATTAAGTGGGTTGTTTTTATCATGGTGTTTTAATACCAGAACTTGAACTAATGATGGGGGAAAAAAACCTGAATGGCTTGCATTCATTTCTTGAGCCCAGAATGAAACCCAAATAGGCATTTTCTATTTATTTATTTTGCTGAACACATTTTTCCACTTTTTTAAAATTAACAAAACAGCGTATGTTCCATGTTCATTCTAACCATGTTCCAAACCTATACATTTTCTAAAACTACTACATCGGGATTGAATTGACACTTCATTCAGTTAGAGTCCCCAGCAGAACCTAGATATTTACTGCCAAAGCCATTGATCTACAATTTACCTTTATTGCTTTCAACAGAATTGGAGAGGCTTACCTCAGAAAATAAATGAAAATGTTTCAGCATGTTCTCAAACCTTCTCTAAATTCATCATTTTCTTTTTACATGCCAAATTCCAGAAGGAAAACGATGCTAATTCCAAAGGCATACAAAATAATTATTCAAACTTGTGCTGAGCTTTTTTTCATCAATTCACTTTCTAAGTCTGTCTTACCTAATGGAAGTCTGCCAAATGTATGGTTATCCAAATCACCTGGGTCTTCGCTCATTGCTGTTTCCTTCACCTAAATCATATCCTAACACCTCAGCCTCCTTTCTACCTTGTATACTCTTGCATATTCTTCAACATTCAGTGTAAAAGTCACTTTCTCCAGGAAGCCTTCTTCAGTTCCCCCACACAGCTTTTAGCCCTTTCCTCTGTCTCTCTCAGCTCTCTTCTCCTACCTCCATGGTATGTTTTTGTCATATGAGTGTATTTGCCTTCCTCACTAGACTCTGAACTTTTGAAGGGCTTAGACTTTACCTTTTAAATCTTTCCATCTCCATTGCCTAGCTCAGTAACTGGACACGTGCTCCAGGTTTGTCCAAATGACCTTATGCATGAACAATTGAATGCATGGAATCAATCAAGGTCCACTACTGGGTAACAAAATATCTCTAAAAGATGCATGCTAGGAAAAGCAACTTTTAAAGAAATATCGGCACTTCTTCCCACAATTGGCCTCCTTTACCCACCTGTCCCAACTGTGTCCTGACCTTCAGTGGGGGTAAGCAGAACAGGCATTCATATACAATGGAATTTGAGAATTATAAATGACCTTAGTAATTTTTAGAGAAAATTATCAGTCTCAAAATTTCCAAAACCATTAATTTGTAGAATGCTTCTGTTCTTAACCCAATTAGTAAAAACAGAATTTTTGAGAGTTCCCAAACAAACAAGGAAATCCACAGACACTTCTGCCTCTTGCCTTTCCTGAATCCTGGATGCTTCAGGAAAGAAAAGTCGGGACACAGTTATTGCAGGAACAACTTACCCAAAGACTCATGGGAAAGAACAACTCAGAGAGAAGATAATCCTCACCTTTTTATGGAAGTTGATTCGGGATTCTCTGAACTCTCAATTTAATAATATTAACCTCTCTGTCTAACTAATTCAGGACTATTTCCAAGCTCAGAGATAAAGAGGCTTGGCTTCTCTAGCTTGTTTCTGGTCAGAAGGACAACCCAGAGTCAGGGAGCAACAGAAAACTATTACAAAACTAATCCCTCTAATTCTTTTAACAGTGACTGTATAACATTTGATCCTCATGGTAAACTTGTAAAGACAGGGAAAGAGTTAGAACTCCATCTCAAAATGGACAGAAGAGACAAAATGGACAGGCCAGAACAAAGTGGACTAACTTGCCTGAGGCTACTGAGTAGCCAAGTTAGCAATAGAACCTAGGTCTTCTGGCTTACAGCCTGATGTGCTAGCATCTATACCATACTGTTTAGTTGCCATACAAATGAATAATCTTCCAAACTGAAACATCGACTCTCCCAGGAAAGGCCTTTTGTATACTTCTCTGGTCTTTCCTTGTACCCCAATGCTGAAAACAGGGCTCAGCAAAATAAAAACATGATTGAGCTACGTTGCTCTTAAAAATCAGCTCCTGCTTATCATTTCCTCTTTTCCAGGTGGGTAGATATGGTAGAAAACCTTACAGTAAATACATGGTGTATTTTTGGCACCAAGTGAGTGGCAAGCTCAGACAACTCTAGACATTGCTACTAAGTTTTCACCTTGTTACCAATTACTGTTTTTCCAAGCTACTCAATTATGAAGTCATTGATTTGATCTAGTTCTTTCTTTCCTGTGATGGAAGTACACAGCTCAAGAACAATAACTAGATCATCTTCATTTGAGGTTACTTAGGAGTGGAAGAGCCCTTATTAGTTAAACTGGTTAGTTGATGAGGGTTTAGAGCCCTTTCATCCTTCCCTTTAGGACTGAGGGCCTGCACACAGGACCTGCTAAGCTGAAAGTCAGGATCAAAGTTTCCATTGTCCCCTAAATCTGATGTTGAAAGGAGCCCTAGAAACCTCCCAAACTGTGAACTTCCCAAGATCAATAACTATGCCTCAATATTGTAATCCTTACGGCTCTTGGCACAAAGTTGGCACTCAATAAATACCACATAAATGAACCACTCCATATTCACTTGAAGAATAGTTATGACTTGTCCAATGTTACATAATGCATATTTGCATATAAATAAATTCATTCTAAACTCTGGTTTAACATGTGGTCCTTTTTCCAAATAGTGTTAACATTTAAATTATTTATTAAAGTATAATTAGCATACAACAGTATATTAGTTTCAGATGTACAAAATAGTGATTTAATATGTATATACCTTGTGATATGATCACCACACTAAGCATCTATCTGTCACCATGCCAAGTTATTACAATATTACTGACTATATTCCCTGTGCCTTATACTACATATCTCTGGCTTATTCATTTTATGACTGGAATTTTGTACCTGTTATTCCCCATCCACCTTTTTTACCCATCCCCACACCCCTCATCTCTGACAACCAAGAGTTTGTTCTCTGTAAGTATGCATATGTTCTTGTTTTGGCCCATTGATACATAAATGGATAAAGAAGATGTGGTGTATATATACACAATGGAATATTACCAAGCAATAAAAAACAATGAAATCTTGTCATTTGTGACAGCATGGATGGATCTAGAGGGTATTATGGTAGGTGAAATAAGTCAGTTAGAGGGAGATAAATACCATTTGATTTCACTTATATGTGGAATCTAGAAATACAATCCAAATGATGTTAACATTTAAAAAAATGGACCCTCCTGCCTTTATTCAAAAGAATGATTTAATGGTGGAAATTATGGCTGGCTTACAAGAGGTAATAAGTTAGCAGTTGTCTCCCCCAGGTAGGACAGGCTGTTACTGGAGGTCCCCTATGAAGGAGTTGATAATGATCATTTATCATTATCTGTGAGACTGTGCATTGTCTAAAATGTTCTCATTTTATCCTTCAGAGATAGGAATCCCTGGAGGTGGAGTCATATACTGTTGTTTGTCATTTTGGCAACCCTTTTAGTTTGGCAATTTTTCAACATATTATATGAGCAATTTATCAGTGTTGCTATATGGGTTGGGGTATGTGTCTCTAGTTACCCAATAATCAAAGAGCAGGGAGGATATTTATCCCTGAGACTTAATTGGCATTATAACCCATGCCCTGGCTCATTCAATGTCCTAAGTTGTCTCAAGAAAGGGCATAAAAATTATTCATACCTAACACACTAACTGTGACAATGCCTTGATTGTTGCCATCAAAGTCTGGGGGGTTGTTAACATCGCAGGTGTAGGTTCCACTATCTGCTGGTTGTATATGCAAAATAGTGATGGATGCATTATCTGGCTCATTGGATACCACAATTCGATCTTCAAATTGCCCGCTGGATGCAGCTTGTCCACCTTCAGAATAGTAAATCTAGAACAGAATAATGAGAGAAATGAGAACTGGAGAGTGTTTAGGGCTAGGACAAACTATCTGGGAGCTCCTTCTATCCAAGGTTACCTCCTTTGATAAGCAGCAGCATTTTCCCCTGGCAAGAAACAGGTCCCTGTGGCAAAGGATTTTCAACTCAGTGGGGCATTTTAGCTTTCTCGTAGCTGTATACAGCCATTACCTCACTTGTGCTCAATGCAGCTTTGTGATGTCATCAGGACAGAGAGGTATTCCTGTCTCATAGACAGTAGACAGCTAGAGCTGATGGGATTTAACTCTTAAGCTTAGGTTAGAAGATCAAGATGCTCATTTGAGGAGTCTACTAGGAGGAAACTCATTATATAAGATATAAATGCCTCATGGGAAATCTAAAACTATCATTTCCTCCTACTTTATAAGCTTTTTTCTTTTTAAATTTTGTTGTATTTTTTCTCATTGCCGTTTAATCTCCTTATAGCCTGCTCCCCAGAAATCACCACACTTTGTCCATGTCTATGAGTCCTTTTTCCTTTGTGCTCAGTCCCTCCACTTATTTTACTCAGTGGGACTATCTGGAAATTCTGGTTTCACTGAAAGTTAGAATATTCAAGCTCCTTTTGTACACACATACTTTTTTGGACAACTAGACTTGGGTTCACCCCGTTAGAATAACATTTTCAAGTAGACAGGCCCCTGAGAAATCATCTGGTCCCATCTCCTCATAATGATGATATGAGGATGGAACAAAATAATCCAGGACAGGGCCTAGTGAGTGTTTAGTCGATGAAGCTACTACCTTTCTCCCCATGTGGCAGGAAGTAGTACTGGAATTATTATTTCAAAGAAGGGCATTCACATCCAGAGAGATTAAATGACCCATTTAAAGCCAAAGGGATTTTCATTATTATAATTTAGTAGACCTAAGAAATATCTGGATTCTAGTCCCATCTCTGTTTAAGAACATGGAAAATTAGCCCTGGTTGGTGTATGGATTGAGTGCCAGCCTGGGAATCAAAGGGTTTCCAGTTTGATTCACGGGGCACAGGCCTGGGTTGTGGGCCAGGTCCCTAGTGGGAGCCATGTGAGAGGCAACCACACATTGCTGTTTCTCTCCCTCTCTTTCTCCCTGCCTTCCCCTATCTCTAAAAATAAATAAATAAAATCTTAAAAACAAGAACATCGATAATTAGATAATAATGGCAACTGTGGGAGCAGCAAAGTGAGGTGGAAAGAGGCCTGGTCTCTGAGTTCCAGGACCCAGCTTTTAGTCACAGCTCTGCCTCTGACTAACTGTAACAAAGTTAGGGAAGATGGCCTCTGGTCATGTCTCCATGGCAACCTGCTTTGCGATAAGAAAACAAAATTATTTAATTTTTAACCTTTAGTTTCCACATCTGAATGAGGAACCAGAGCAATGTTCTCCCAAATATGTGTTCCCTAAGTATAAACACATAAGTTGATTTTAGGTGGTACATAAATGAAAACATTAAAATGAGATATAATTAGCACATCAAGTCTGTGACCTAATAAATATTATTGCTTGGGTGAAACTAAGATATTTTTAAGATTTTAAGAAACCAAGTCAGTATAGAAAACATTACATACTACTACTTAATATGGCAAAAAATCAGAAAGACGAGGCATGAATGATGAGCTTTGGAATCACTGATCCCTGAGGTTCCTTCATAATATACACAGTCTATATACATACTTCATTAGTTTCACACAAATGTGTATAATTGAAATGGCTGTTATTTATTATTCAATAAACTGATACTGCCCTAGTCCAGTGGAAGTAATTAATATTTTTATACAATCTACTTGAAGAGCCTTATGGTTCACTCTTCTCACTTTATAGAGCAAAGTGAAGCACAGAGGAGTTAACAGGTGGGAGAGTTCTAGAACCCAATTCTTTTCATTCCTTGTCTAGTGCTCCTTACATTAATAGGCTAATGAGAGAGGGAAGGTAATCAGCAAAACCAAAGATATTGTCTAGATAAATTTAAAAGCATTGTCCTTTGTGGTACATATACACAATGGAATTCTATGCAGCAGAGAGAAAGAAGGAGCTACTACCCTTTGCAACAACATGGATGGAACTGGAAAGCATTATGCTGAGTGAAATAGGCCAGGTGCTGAAAGACAAATACCATATGATCTCACCTTTAACAGGAAGCTAAACAACAAAACAAAGAAGCAAGCAGAAAAAAAACAAAGACACTGAAATAGAGAACAAGGGGACAGTGACCAGAGGGGAGGGGGAAGGGAATTTAAGGGGAAAAAGGGGAGGGATTTGGAGGAACAAATAGGAAGGACACAGGGATGAGAACTAAGGGGGGTGGAAATGGGAGGGAGGTGGGAGCAAGGGGCGGGGGAGGCTGGGATGGGAGAAATATATAAAAAAACTGTACTTGAAAAATAACTAAATAAAATTAAAAAATACAATGTTTTCTTGAAACTGCTTATCTAATCACACAGCAAGACTGCAACTTGATTCCATTTTCCACAAAAGAATAACTCTTTTAAAAATCAAAGCTAATCAATGATCAAGGCCTGGTCATGATCCTGTGAGGCTTTCATATTTTTCAAAGAAACTATACTGTGAATTTAGAGATCAAAACAGATGAAGTCCAGGAAAAATCATGGATGTTTAAGAAGCTACATTCTTTGTGGGAAAGTCTGCTTTAAGAGAATCCATCCAAGTGTTTCCTTAAATGTGCTTGTTAATTTTATGCCCACTTGCCCTTTGTGGTTTTGTTTATGGCAGACTTCCCTACTTTCCCCCCATGGTTCTATCTCTATGCCCATTGGTGATGTTAGAAGCTGAATGTAGAATCATGATAGCACATTCATTATAAGATATAACCAAAGACACTGAAATAGAGAACAGGCTGACAGTGACCAGAGGGGAGAGGGGAGGGAATTTCAGGGGAAAAGGGGTATGGTTTACAGGAACAAATATAAAGGACACATGGACAAAAACTAGGGCAGGGGGCCTGGAAATGGGACAGAGGTGGGGAGGGCTGGATGGGTGGGCTGGGATGGGAGTAAAAGACAGAACACTGAACTTGAACAACAATTAAAATAAATTAAAAAAAAGATTTCTGAGAGATCACTTTCGTCATGGTTTCTAAGGTTGAAGAGCCTTAAGAAGCCAGATAGATATGAGAAATATGGGAAATGGTTGGGAGGGTCTGGTGGATAGTGGTAAGATAGGAGAATAGTGGGAACTGTGGTGAACTGGAGATCTAACACAAACAAGACTTTCAAACTGTGTAAACAAACAAAATATTGGGTTGGCCAACCAACATGCATCCATTGACCAAATCATGCCCAGAGTCCTCTAGTTTTCAACCTCTGATTCATTCTCTTCTATTACAGAGGAGGGACACTAAGACCCCTTGAGGAAGTGATTTGCCTAAGGTCACACAATTTATAATTAGACCTGAAATCCAGACCTTGTGATTCCCACTGAACATATTAAAATGGCACTCATAGTACTGACTTAGGTGAGGAAGATGATTCCCAGGAATCTGGGAATCTTCTGCCATTGGGGCCATTCCATCTTCTACTCCAGCCTGACAGTTCTGTAATTGCCACTATTCATTGACATGATGCTTCTTCCTGTACTGAGTAAGTTCATCACGCAATGCCTTCAATGTCTGCCAGCTGCAATAACTACCTTTTTCCTCTTACTGTTCCAGGTTCCTACTCACATAAGGTCATGCAGCTAGGATCCAGATTTGTCCAAAAAGATTTTTTCCTCGGCTTTTTGACACTGCTTTCTAACTAGAGGGTGGAATATAAAAAAGAGGGTGGAAAGTACTGTCTGCTTTCTGTTTGAGTCTGAGTTGCCATTAATAAATGTGTTTAGCTTCCAGAATTGATTTTGTGGGTTCTTTTTGGAAATATGCAGGGTACAGAAGTCCACGGCCAATCACCCATTCTTTCCCTCTGGTTTCTTGCTTTCCTGTGCTGTTCATATAGTAGTGAGCCATAGAAGGGGGCATGGTGAGTGTAAGTTAGCAATGGTCTCAAGCCCAGAATTTTCTCTGGAGTGCACTAGAGGGCTGAGATTGCTTATATAAAAAAAAAATGTAACACCAAAAGGAAGACTGCTTGCCCACAAACCACTCCCTTCCCAACCTGTCATTTGCCTGAAATACCTACCATTTCAATAGATTTTAGGGGATGAAGGCATGGAAGGCCTATGCTTAAATTATTTTCTTTGGAAAATAATAAAATAAGCTACCACCAGTCCCTAACACCTTAATATTAAATTAATCTATCAAAATTAGCAAGAATAGACACATGAGGAAATGGGACAGAGAATAAACTTTAATAGGAGGGGGTGGTAAGGAGGGAGGGAAGAAATTAGTTTCTCAATTAATGTTACACTGGCACTTTGGGCGGACAAAGTGGGTCAGCACTATATACTGCAAGACATTTAGCATCTCTAACCACCACCCACTCAGTGCCAGGACTGGCTCCCATTTGTAACAATTAAACCAAGCCCCTGTCATTTTCAAGTGCCCCTGAGGAGGTGGAATACTTCCACTCTGTTAACATTTGAAAAGCATTTGATATAATGGTATCTGTTGTGGACAGGACAGGTTGGAAGAATCTGAGCAGCCAGAGAATATGAAGACACTAGGTTATGTATAGAAGTTGTTCACACCATATGTGTTTTGGGAAAGTGAGGATGGCAAAGGGTTTCTCCCACTATGGATATGCTAGAAAAATAAGTATTGTCTGAGAGACCCATGCTAAATATGATCAATGCTTGCTCTGCTCATAGGCAGCTGAAGTCTCTGAAGTTTTACTAGTGACTGGCTAGGTAGAAGAAAACATTTTTGTGATCAGAGGGACACCAGACCACCAAAACTTTCATGCTAGCCTGGCTGTCCCAAGACCTAGAGTCTTCAGCTAAGGGTCCCTGCTGAGGAAGTCACTATATGAAGCTGTCTATGTCTTCTGAGAGGAGGGCTTCTCTAAGAGGAGGACCATGCTAAAGAATATCCTGGCCTCCTTAGTTAGAAGACTTGTGGAATAATTCTTTAAACCCTATTCACCAAAAGAACCCCTTGGAGAAGAAAGCAAGAGATAACATCCTCCTCTGGGTATTAAGAAATACTAGAACTTGAAGTGAAATTCTCTTTTATAAAAGAATGATTTGAGGCAAGGAGGAGAATATGATCCTATGGCAAGAGTTGGCCACTCCCCTGCTCAATAGGGCAGCAATAGGGCCCTGAACTTTTTGAAGGAGGATGAAAAGACCAGACATGGACATGAGAAGGCAAACTCACGGCTGTCCCAGTTTTGCCAGGAATTTCTGATGATCTGGATTGGCACCAAACTCAGGCCAACCCTTCCCACTCCTAAAAGCTCGTGTCACTTCCCTAGAAACTCCAAATAATGAAGGAATCCAGTAGTCCATCAATAGGTGTTCTTACCTGAGAGGTCCAGCTACATCTTCCCCGAGCATCTCTTGCATGCGCCATTTTTAGACACTGACTGACTGCCTTTTCCTCCATAGCCTCATTATTGAGGCACCGGTTGTGCTGTGTTTGAGCAGAAATGGGTGGATCTGAGAGCTGAATGACAAATGGTATACTGCCACATCAATGCAGGAGTTGAATTGAATCCCCCAGTGGTCAGTGTGGCAACAGCTTCCTCCCATGAATCATAGAATTGTCTAATAGCACAGCAGTCTTTTTTTTTATCATCCCCCCAAAGTCCCATTAGCCATTCCTAGATTAATATATAACATGATCTACAGGATTCTGAATGCATAGAATTGCTCTAAGAAGAAACAAATTTGAAATAGAAGCCAAATTTTATTTTGAAAAATACCATGCCTATAGCCCTGGCAGGAATGGCTCAGTGGATTGAGTGCTGGTCTGTGAATCAAAGGGTCACCAGTTTGATTCCCAGTCAGGACATATGCCTGGGTTTCAGGCCAGTTCCCCAGTATGGGGCTCATGAGAGGCAACCACACACTGATGTTTCTTTCCCTCTCTTTCTCCCTCCCTTCCCCTCTCTAAAAGTAAATAAAATCTTTTAAAAAAGAAAAATATTATGTCCATGAGTAAATGAGTAGGTCAAAAAACCATGGTACATTTATACCATGAAATACTATTTAGCAGAAAGAAAGAAAGAACTCCTATCCCTCATGACAGCATGGATGGAACTGGAGAGTATTATGCTAAGTGAAATAAGCCAGGCAGTGAAAGACAAATACCATATGATCTCACTTATAAGTGGAACCTAATTCATGAGACAAACAAGCAAGCAAAATAGAACCAGAGACGTGGAAATAAAGAACAAAGTGATAGTGACTAGAGGGGAGAGGGGAGGGAGATAAAGGAGGAAAGAAAGGGAAGGGTCAAGTCAAGGAACATGTACAAAGACCCATGGACAAGGACAATGTGGGGGAGGATTGAATGTGGGACGTGGAGGGTGGGTAGGGCAGTGAAGAGTAATGTGGGGGAAATTGGGACAACTGTAATTGAACAACAATAAAAAATTTTAAAAATACCATTTCAACTGAAGATATCTGCAACATCTTTGTTGAGCAGTTTCTCTGTTTAAGGATAAGAAGCAGGCCAAAAAGGGAACTGACCTCTCTCTCCCTTTAGCCACAGGGACCTGAAAGGCAGTGGAGCTGGAAGCCATTCTGGGGACAGAATTCCCCCAAGAGCTCTGTCCCAGCTGACCAGCTGTAAAAAGTGTACCTTGTTAGGCTGGATTCCCTAGTGCCCATCACCCAGGGCTAGGGATAGGATAGGGATTTTGCAAAATCACCATTTTGGGAGTAATGTTGCTGATAATAACTCACATTCATTGAATGGTTACTGGGTAGAAAGCTTCCTAGTGCTTCAAAAGTAGCATCTCATTTAAATTTCACAGTAAACCTGTGAAGTAGGTAAGTAGCCCCATTTTACAGATGGAAAAACTGAACCTCTGAAAGGTCAAGTGACTTGTCTAAGGTCAACAATCTGGCAAGTAAGCAGAAAGGCAAGGAATAGAATTAATGGGAGGTTTCCTCTGGGGCTCCAAAACTACTCATCTAGAAAAGCAGAGAGAAGCACATGCCTGCACTGTATGGAGGAAAATGTGGAGGGACTCAAGTTCTCTAGATTTAGAGACCTAAGGATGGTTATAATGGGGATCTTGCTGGGGCAAGGAGAAAGAGAAAGCCTGCCTTTTTGGAGGTGATTTTCACTGTCTCCAAGCTAGGAGCTAGCCCTACCTCACCCTGTCTTGTATGTGGCTTAAGGTATGAAAGTAGCACAGGTGTCATGCTCTTTAAGAGATGCCTGGAATGTTTTATAATCAAGGAGCATGTTCTCACTAATCAAGTGTTTCAGTGCAGAAGCTCTCTTTTGATTTAGACATTCCAAAAGAGTAGATACCCTAAATTATTTGCACTGCCTGGGCCAGACATTTTGAAGAATGAGGTAAATGGCAAGTAAATAAGCTACTTAAATAATTATTTGTTCATTGATTTCTTTTTTTTTCCATAAATTTTCTTTCTAAAGCTGTTCTAAGAGATGTCCTGAGCACAAGTAACATTCAGTTCACTAACCTACACCTTCTTCCTCTCCATTTTAAGGTCTAGAATAAAGTCATTGTTGGTCACAAGATCCTTCAGGTCCTGCATCTATGAGCTCCTCACCAGCCACATAATTCAACCAAGAGGCGATCTTGTAAATTTCAGTATCAGAGGAGGCATAAAGAAGAATTTGTGTTTTTGAATTCAGACTTGCCTGGCCTGATCTCCAGGTATTTTAGAACATCTTGATTTGTGGACTAAGCCTAATAATTTTTTCCAAAATATACTGGTAAGACCTCTCTAAATTCAGCCTTTACTGGAAAACATGAGAAGGACTTTAAGCCCACAGATAAAGAATGCACTAAAAAGACTAGTAAGGAATGTACACTTTAAAAAGGAAGAAACATCAGGTGATTATCGTCATCTACAATCTAAGAGAACAGCATACTCTCTCGGTTAACTGCAACATGTGAGATGTTGGGTCAGAACATTTTTGGTGATGGGAACTGGTAGACTTATGTTGCTGCTGCTGCTGCTGCTGTTGATAATAGTGTTTATAAGGATGAAAATTTACAGTGATTTATATTATTTTTTCAGTGTTTTCACATATGTCAGTTGATTCTCCATGAAACATGTAAGAGTATTACTGTTCTACCATATTTTGAGAGAGGCATAAAGTGATTTGTATACTTGTCTAAGTACTAGTGATTCATATACTTAACTAGTATTGAGCAAAGTTGTTGAACTTTGACTAGCGGGTATAATTGACAAAATCTCTTGAATGTTATTTCCTGCTAAAGAAGTGTTCGAGGCCTCTGGTGAAGAGATGACTCAGCACGCCCAAAAGACTGGTGATGGCTGAAACAACACTGGCCAAGACGTGACTCCTCCAATCTAATGTCCCTTTTCACCTCTGCCCTTGCTCCTCTTCCAGTCTACTCTACTGGCTCTCTGTCTATCTTTCTGCTAATCAAAACCTTCCCTTTCCTTCAAGGCCCAACTCAACTACATCCCACTCTTTCAAATCACATTGATTTGTCTCTTCTTTGAATTCCTTGTTTTGGATTATATATCATTTTGAAAATCTAATTAAAGCTATAGATCTTTTCCCCTCAAGGAATATATGTTGGCATATGTGCTTGCACACTCATGCACCCACAGAGGGAGACACACACACTTGGAGTATACAATTTTAATCCTTGGGCTAATTTAAAGATGCAATTACCCTAAGGTCAGATGGAGAAAACCTGGGACTAGGCAGCTTGCAGGTAGAATCATTCTCTTTGACTTTCACACAACCTCTTCTGGCAACTTGTTCCCCCCAGACCCTGTCCTACCTCTCTCTACCCTATAGCTTCCTGGTGCCTTTGTTTACCCAGAGCTCATCATTACCTTGACCCTTCTCCACCTATCTTGGACTCTCATTGCACCAGGACTCAGTCTGATTCAATGAACTAGCTTGCTTAAAGACAGATCCCATATGTTAAGTTTGACAGAGATCTACACATCAATTAGGAAATGAATTTGAATTAGGGTCTTCTGGAAATAATAGTGAGAAAGATTTTTTTTGGAGGGGAGGAAGTCCTTTCAGAACTGCTTATTTCACCTATGAGAAAAACCACTCCTGTCTAATCTGGAATACCTGGTATACTTTATGTTGACTTACACAGAATTAAGATAACAGGCTATAACAGAATATGAAGATAGGTCAAAGGCTAAGTCACTTACATGATGGTATTCCCTAAGAAGCTATCTTCAAATTCTTTGTATCTGAGGTTCTGCCACTGCTGTCACTATCTTACCATTCCTTCACACACTGACTTCAACGGTTTATGTCAGAACTATTAAAGGGGAATAATTTAGGAATAAGTTCTTACAGTAATTGGACGTAACTCTTTTTCATTGGAGAAGGACCACTGGATGGAAAGATTGTCCCGGGAGGCCACAGTGCTGGTATAGGTGCAGATGAGAGTGACATTAGATCCAACAGTCACATTCACAACACTTTTTGGGATGGTCACTTGCACCCCAGTAACTTGACCTGAAAAGATAATCACCAAAAATAATGTTACACACTCACTTTCTGACAACATTTTTCATTATGAAGCATTTTCAATGACATCTTATTTTAGGAATCCAAGATGAAGAGGATAAAGTAGAATGAACCATATAGGAAAGCTGAGCAAGCAATTGGTTGGGGTAAGGGAGTTTTTGATAAATTACTATGTGAATATACTCAAATCCTATGTGATAGTGAGGTGATAGCACTGAACTGGGAATTTCTTTTGTGCAAGAATAGCCTCAATCACTTCTTGTCCTTTTGACTAAGATCAAGTGAAGAATAGCCTTGGACAGAGGTTCTGAAAATGTTGTCTGGGGGTTCACAAAGGTCCTTGAGTATGGGGAACAATCAATCCTGTTTTCCCAGAACTAGGGGTTCCCTTAGACATAGGACTTTCCATTTTAAAACTGGGTCTTGGTGCTTAAACCAGAAAAGCCCCAGGAAAACCAGGATGAGTTTGTTGCTCTATAAGATCATTTTGTTAACTAAAAGATAAAAAATTATATTCATAATGCTAAGATGTTATTTTTCTTTTTCACTTTCATCCTCTCATCAGTCTACAGTGAAGTGTTCTAGAAACTACACAATAATGATATCACTGCTTTAGTAACTCATGGATGTGTGCTCATGTATTTTTGTGTTTAACTTTTTTTTTACTTGCTAATACAGTAAATATAGATACAAATAACCCACATAGCAAAAATTCCTTGGGTTCCCCAATAATTTTCAATTAAAATTATCTAGAATTAAGTGCATATATATATACACACAAAGACAAGCAAAAATGGACAAGTATGAATAAGATCACTAGATTTTATTAATGTTAGTTTCCTGGTTGTGATATTATACTATAGTTTTACAATATGTTACCATGGCAGGTATGGTTGTGTAAAGCATACATGGGATGACTGTCCTAAAATTTTTTAACATATTTTTTAAATTTATTTTTAGAGAGAGGGGAAGGGAGGGAAAAAGGGAGAAACATCAGTGTGTGGTTGCCTCTTGTGTACCCCCTACTGGGGACCTGGCCTGCAACCCAAGCACGTACCCTGACTGGGAATTGAACTGGCAACCCTTTGGTTCACAGACCAGCATTCAATCCACTGAGCCACACTAGCCAGGGCTGTCTTAAAAATTTTAATGACTGCAGAATGTACAGTGATATCTCATATTTCATTACTGATATTGATGTTACATGTCTTATCTGCTTTTATTTTTTTACCAGTTTTGCTGGGGGTTTGTCAATTTTATTTATTGATTCTTTTTCAGAAAACCATATTTTTATTTCATTTAATTTTCTCTATAATTTTCTTATTTTAATTCAACTGACGTCAGCTCTTTCTTACTTCTTGAATTCTGTTTTTAATAGAAATTTAAAAACTAGAGGCCTATGCTTTTGCAGGTGAGGTGATCTTTTTGGTCTCTCTTTTGTACAGAGTACATATCACTTTAAACCCATTTCCCAGACCTTGTGGTTCTTCTGTCAGATGATTACAAAGGTGCCATGAAAACAATAAGGCATTTGCATAGGCACTTCTGCTCAGCCTAGTTCTTCAAATTTCTTGGCATCCAAGATCAGGAGAAAATTGTTTTTCTTCTGCTTGGGTGTGATCAACACAAAAAGAATAACCCCACCATCTTTTTCATTACTTCTGGTACTGGAACAAAAACAGATTCTGAAGGATAAAAGCCATTTTCTTTTCAAACCATCAGTGCCTTGTTCACCACATCAACCTTGATTACAAAATCCCCCACCAAATGCTGAAAGCCACAGCCATAGAAGAAATGATACTTTTTTGCCACTGAACCAGCCATAGTGACTTCAGCTCTTAATATGTTCCTTTTTCTTGTTGTTTTCAGATTATTTTGTCCTTCTTATTTTAGATCCTTGATGTAGAAACTTCAATTAGTGACTTGAGATATTTGTTCATTTCAAATGTAAGCACTAGGTATTATAAATTTCTCTCTCATGAGTGCTTTAGTTGCATGTTACATATTTCTATATGTTATATTTTTATTTTTATTCAGTTTATGTTTACTTTTAAATTTTTCTTTGAGACTTCATTATTGATCCATACATTATTTAGAAGTGTGTTGAATAGTTCACAAGTATTTAAAGACTTACTATCTTTTAGTTCTTTTTTTAAAATAAATGATTCTTTTTTTATTTTTATTTTTTATTTATTTATCTTTAGAGGGGAAGGGAAGGAGAGAGGGAGAGAAGTATCAATGTATGGTTGCCTTTCATGCGTCCCCTGCTGGGAAGTGGCCTGCAGGGAAGCGGTCTGCAACCCCGGTATGTGCCCTGACTGGGAATCGAGCCGCGATTGTCTTGTTTGCAGGCCCGCGCTCAATCCACTGAGCTACACCAGCCAGGGCTCTATCTTTTGGTTCTTGATTTCTAGTTTAATTGTATTGTGCTCAGAGAACAGACCCTGTATAATTTCAATTTTTTAAAAAAAATTATGTCTGTTTTATGTCCAAGTACGTGGTCTATTTGGTAAATGTTCCATGGGTGCTTGGGGGAGTAAGTGCATTACTTGGAGAAGTAATGCTGTTACTTGGAGAAGTGTTCTACATAAAGAGATACACTTTAAAATGTTATGAATACTCACCAAGTTAGACCAAGTTGTAGGCAATAAAAGAAACCTTAACAAGTTTAAAAGAACAAAAGTCATATGTTTGCTCTCAACCACAATGAAATTAAAGTAGAAATCAATAACAAAGAAATTAACAGAAAGTCCCCAAATATATGGTGATTAAATAGTATACTTCTGAACAAATTGGTCAAAAAGAAATCTCAAAAGAAAGTTAAACATACCTTGAATAAACGTATCTTAAATAAAAAAGACAAATACCATATGATCTCGCCTTTAAGTGGAACCTAATCAACAAAACAAACAAGCAAGCAAAATATAACCAGAGACATTGAAATTAAGAACAACCTGACAGTAACCAGAGGGGAGGGGGGAGGGAATAATTGGGGGGGAGAGGGAAAGAGTTTTCAGGAACAGCTATAAAGGACACACAGACAAAACCAAGGGGAATGGAATCAGGGAAGGGAGGTTGGGATGGCTGGGGTTGGGGGGAGTGGTGGGAGGTAAATGGAGACAACTGTACTTGAACAACAATAAAATAATTTTTAAAAATAAAACTGATCAAAATTTATGGTATGTAGTAAAAGCAGTCCTTAGTGGGAAATTTACACCATTGAATATAGTAGAAAAGAAAAAAAGATCTAAAATCAATCATGGAAAATTGCACCTTAGGAAACAGACAAACAAAAAAAATAGCAGATTAAATCCAAAGTAAGCAAAAGAAAATAAATAATGAAAACTAGAGCAGAAACCAATGAAATTGAAAAACAAGAAATCATTAGAGAAAACCAATAAAATGAAAATGGCTTATTTGAAAAAATCTATAATATTGATAAGATTCTAGCCAAGCTAAGAAAAAATAGAGTACATAAATTACTGAAACTAGAAATGAAGAAAAGGTCATTGCTACAGACTCTATTGGCATTAAAAAGATAATAAAGAAATACAAGAAAAACTCAGTGCCCACAAATTCAACAATTTAGGTGAAATGGTCCAGTGTCCTGAAAGACACGGTATTCCAAAATTCACACAAGAAGAAGTAAACAATTCAAACAGGCCTATATCTATTCTATATTTATTTTTAAAATGAATGAATAATCAATAACCTTCTAAAACAGAAAGCACCAGGTCCAGATGGTTTCACTGGTTAATTCTACCAAATATTTAAGGAAATCATACCAATTCTCTATAATCTCTTTCAGAAGATAGAACAGAGTGAATATTTCCTCACTCATTATAGGATGCTCTCATCACCCTAGTACTAAAATCAGACCAAGACAATACAAGAAAAAAACTCAAATACATCTCATGAACATAAATACAAAAATACTCAGTGTGGCATTGGTGGTATAGTGGTGAGCATAGCTGCCTTCCAAAAATACTCAGTAAAAAGTTAGCAAACCAAATTCAACAATATATGAAAATAATTCTATACCATGACCAAGTGGAATTTATCCCAGGTATGCAAGCCTGGTTCAACACTTAAAAATCAATTAATATACTTTTAGTCAAGATGGTAGTGTAGGCAGACATAGCTCACCTCTTCACACAACCACATCCAAATTACAACTAAATTATAGAACAACCATTAGTCAGAACTGTAAGAAATCAAGCAGAGTGGAAGTCTGACAAATATGGAATTAAAGAAACCATATCAACCAGACTGGTAAGAAAGGCAGAGACACAGTATGGGCTGGTCCCACATCCACGTGTAGTGGACAAAATTTGGGAAGGATATCTTGGGAGCAAGGAGTCCCAACCCTGTACAAGAACTCCCAGCCCAGGGTTCCAGTGCCAGAAAGATAAGTCTCTATAACTTCTGGCTTCAAAACCCAGTGGGGACTGAGTTGGTGGAAGAAACCTCTGGAGTCCTAAGTAATTCCTCTTAAAGGTAAGTCCACACAGGACTTACTCAGACTCACTCCCTCTGAGCTTCAGCATTGGGTTAGCAGCTTGAAAAGGCACCAGTGGCATACAGGGAGAAACTGAAGTGTCTGGAATTAAGTCAAGCAAAGGCCATTGCCCTTTTCTGAACCCTCCTCTGACAGACCACATTTCTGGCAGGCTGGTGCTATATCTGAGACTATCTGCCTGGATAGTACTGTTTGCCCTGCCCTGGAGACCCCCAGAACTCTTTCCAACCCAACTTAAGGGCTGGCCCAAGCTGTTTTTCCATATGAATGGTTGGATTCGGCTCATGCTTCACAACTTCCTAAATTCTCTTAAACAAGGAACAGCCTGCCTCAGTGAGCCCCCAGTCCCTAGGTACCACTTGCTAAGTGGCCCCAGGCCTGGCACTAGTAGAAACCAGCCTAGATTAACATCTTGGCTTTACCTGGGAATCTCCAAGTCCAGCACAAGCAGCAGCCATCTCAGATTGCT